CCATCAGGAAATAGTAAAGAGCATGACATCAAGAGTGTCAGTAATCAACATGGTGGTTATATCAAGGGTTATGTTGGGTCGGGACCTAGCGTGGACCGTCAACCATCAGGAAATAGTAAAGAGCATGACATCAAGAGTGTCAGTAATCAACATGGTGGTTATATCAAGGGTTATGTTGGGTCGGGACCTAGCGTGGACCGTCAACCATCAGGAAATAGTAAAGAGCATGACATCAAGAGTGTCAGTGATCAACATGGTGGTTATATCAAGGGTTATGTTGGGTCGGGACCTAGCGTGGACCGTCAACCATCAGGAAATAGTAAAGGACATGACATCAAGAGTGTCAGGGATCAACATGGTGGTTATATCAAGGGTTATGTTGGGTCGGGACCTAGCGTGGACCGTCAACCATCAGGAAATACTAAAGGACATGACATCAAGAGTGCCAGTGACCAACATGGTGGTTATACCAAGGGTTATGTTGGGTCGGGACCTACTGTGGACCGTCAACCATCAGGAAATATTAAAGGACATGACATCAAGAGTGCCAGTGATCAACATGGTGGTTATACCAAGGGTTACGTTGGGTCAGGGCCTAGAGTAGACCATCAACCATCAGGAAATAGTAAAGGACATGACATCAAGAGTGCCAGTGATCAACATGGTGGTTATACCAAGGGTTATGTTGGGTCGGGACCTACTGTGGACCGTCAACCATCAGGAAATATTAAAGGACATGACATCAAGAGTGCCAGTGACCAACATGGTGGTTATACCAAGGGTTATGTTGGGTCGGGACCTACTGTGGACCGTCAACCATCAGGAAATATTAAAGGACATGACATCAAGAGTGCCAGTGATCAACATGGTGGTTATACCAAGGGTTATGTTGGGTCGGGACCTAGCGTGGACCGTCAACCATCAGGAAATAGTAAAGTACATGATATCAAGAGTGCCAGTGATCAAACTGGTGGTTACACCAAGGGTTATGTAGGGTCAGGGCCTAGCATGGACCGTCAACCGTCAGTAAGTAGTAAAGGGTATGACATTAAGAGTTCCAATGATCAACATGGTGGTTACATCAAGGGTTATGTTGAGTCAGGGCCTAGCGTGGACCGTCAACCATCAGGAAATAGTAAAGGGTATGACATCAAAATTGCCCGTGATCAACATGGTGATTATACCAAGGGTTATGCTGAGTCTGGACATAATACTGAAGAATTACACGCCAAAAATGTTAAATTAAAAGGAGATGATGGTTTGGTTAATGATAATCAACATGAAGGTTACGTCAGTATGGGACCCACTCTGGTCACACAAGAATTAAGTGATGTTTTTACAAAAGGTTATAAAAACAACCATCCCATCAAAAGTTTTCCTGATGATCTTCGACCTCCAGAAATCTCTAGCGGTCAGACAACACAAGATTTAAAGGATCATCTACATCAACATGGAGGTTATATCAAGGGTTATGTGGGTGAAGGACCTAGCGTAGATAGGCAAGCAGCAAGTACAGATGATAGTAGTAACAATGTTCATCCATTGCCAGGAGTTCCCGGTAAAGATTATCCGATATTTGGTATAATTCCAAAAACCAAATTTGAATGTCAAGATATGCCCTACCCAGGCTACTACGCAGACACAGAGACAGAGTGTCAGGTATGCTATTTAAGTATAACTTTTATGATTTCTTCTTTCAAAGAAAGAAAGTTTTTGTTAACAATGACGTAAACAGATACGGAAGACTCTAGGTAATGTAGTAGTCACTTACTGACAGTGATCGTCAAAATCTGCAGACCATACGTCACTTACTAATGTAAATTCAGCAGACTACATCGTGTAGTAGTCACTTACTGACAGTCCTTGCAAAAAAATACATCATTTACTGGTGAATTACTAAGAGTCAATGTAAGATTAGCAGACCGTTCATCAATTTTTAGTGCGTTATATCACTTTGTAGAGAAATATTAGTAAAATGTAAAAGAGCAGCCCTACATCATTTAGTAGTACTAATTAAGTTGTTGTAGAATTAGCAGCCCATACATCATTTAGTAGTATTAATTAAGTTATTGTAGAATTAGCAGACCCTACATCATTTAGTAGTACTAATTAAGTTGTTGTAGAATTAGCAGCCCCTACGTCCTTTAGTAGTACTAATTAAGTTATTGTAGAATTAGCAGCCCTTACATCATTTAGTAGCACTAATTAGTATGTTGTAGAATTAGCAGCCCCTACATCATTTAGTAGTACTAATTAAGTTATTGTAGAATTAGCAGCCCTTACATCATTTAGTAGCACTAATTAGTATGTTGTAGAATTAGCAGCCCCTACATCATTTAGTAGTACTAATTAAGTTATTGTAGAATTAGGAGCCCCTACAACATTTAGTAGTACTATTAAGTTGTTGTAGAATTAGCAGCCCTACATGATTTAGTTGTACTAATTAAGTTGTTGTAGAATTAGCAGCCCTACATCATTTTGTAGTATTAATTAACTTATTGTAGAATTAGCAGCCCCTACACCATTTAGTAGTATTAATTAACTTATTGTAGAATTAGCAGCCCACACATCATTTAGTAGTACTAATGAAGTTATTGTAGAATTAGCAGCCCAATACATCATTTAGTAGTATTAATTAAGTTATTGTAGAATTAGCAGCCCATACACCATTTAGTAGTACTAATTAAGTTGTGTAGAATTAGCAGCCCCTACAGCTAATTCTACAACAACTTAATTAGTACTGCTAAATGATGAATGAGCTGCTAATTCTACAACATATTAATTAGTACTACTAAATGATGTATGGGCTGCTAATTTTACAATAACTTAATTAGTACAACTAAATGATGTATGGGCTGCTAATACTACAATAACTTAATTAGTACTACAAAATGATGTATGGGCTGCTAATTCTACAACAACTCAATTAGTACTACTAAATGATGTACGGGCTGCTAATTTTACAATAACTTAATTAGTACAACTAAATGATGTATGGGCTGCTAATACTACAATAAGTTAATTAATACTACTAAATGATGTAGGGCTGCTAATTCTACAACAACTTAATTAGTACAACTAAATCATTAATTAGTACTACTAAATGATGTATGGGCTGCTAATTCTACAATAAGTTAATTAATACTACTAAATGATGTAGGGCTTATGTTGTAGAATTAGCAGCTCATACATCATTTAGTAGTACTAATTAAGTTATTGTAGAATTAGCAGCCCACACATCATTTAGTAGTACTAATTATCTTATTGTAGAATTAGCAGCCCATACATCATTTAGTAGTACTAATTAAGTTGTTGTAGAATTAGCAGCCCTACACCATTTAGTAGTACTAATTAAGTTGTTGTAGAATTAGCAGCCCCTACACCATTTAGTAGTATTAATTAAGTTGTTGTAGAATTAGCAGCCCTACATCATTTAGTAGTACTAACTAAGTTGTTGTAGAATTAGCAGCCCTACATCATTTAGTAGTACTAACTAAGTTGTTGTAGAATTAGCTGTTCAGAACCTATATGAATTAGTAGTATATTATTAAGCAATTATAAAATCAGCGTGTTAAGAGTCATGGTAAGATCAATAGTAACTCGATCATTATTAAGTTATTTAAAATTTAGACCAAAAGGCCCTATATCACTTATTAGTACGTTATTAAGTGTCACTGCAAAACCAGCAGACCTTGTAATACTTACTAGTGGTTTATTAATGCAAGCGGACAGTATCCCGAACAGTAAATCTAACTTCCTAGACACTATCATGAACAGTATATCTTACTTCCTAGACACTGTATCCCGAACAGTAAATTTTACACCCTAGATACTGTACCAAACACAGTAAATTTTACATCCTAGAACTGTATCACAAACAGTTAATCTTACTTCCCCGAGACCGTATCACGAACAGTAAAGCTTACACCCTAAGCACCTTATCACAAATAGTAGATGCTACTTCCTAGACACTATTTCATGAGCACTAAATATTCCTTTTTGGATACTCTATCACGAATACGTGATCTTTCTTCCTAGACGCTGTATCGTAGGCAGCAAATCTTCCTTCCTAAACAATGTATTATAGACAATTAATTTTTCATTCTAGACACTGTATAACTTACAATAAATCGAGGAACAGTAAGTCGTACTTCCTAGGCCTTGTATCACGAATAATAAATATTACTTCCTAAACACCGTATCACAACAGTAATTCTTACTTTCTAGACATTTTACCATGAACAATAAATCATTTCCCAGACACCATATCTTCCTTTGTAAACACTGTATTACTAACAATAAATTTTACTTCCTAGATACTACATAGACACATATAATGAACTTTAAATCTTACTTTGTATACACTGTACAGTAAACACTACATATTACTTCCTAGTCACTTTAGAATGAAAAGTAAATCTTACTTCCAAGACTGCATCAACATCATTAAATCTTACTTCCTAGACACTGTATCGCGAACAGTTAATATTACTTCCTAACCACCGTATCACGAACAGTAAGTTGTACTTCCTAGGCACGTATAACGAGCATTAAATCTTACTTCTTAGATACTGCATCACGAACAGTAAGTCTTAACTTATAGTCGCTGTATCATGAACAGTAAATTTTACGTCCACGACACCATATCACTAACTGTAAGTCTTACTTCCCAGACACTGTATCACGAAAATTAAATCTTACTTCCCAGACACTGTATCACGAAAATTAAATCTTACTTCCCAGACATCGTATCACGAAAAAGAATTTCTTATTTTGCAAACACTGTATCATGAACAGTAAGATCTTATTTTGCAAACACTGTATCACGAACAATAAGTTTTACTTATAGACACTGTATCGTGAATTATAAATCTTAATTACTAGACCCCATATCACGAACAGTAAGTCTTACTTCCTACATACGGTATCACGAACAGTAATTATTACTTTCTATACACTGTATCACGAACAGTAAATCTTACTTCCTAAGCAACATATCACGAACAATAAATCTTACTTTCTAGACACCGTATTATCAACAGTAAATTTTACTTCCTAAACAGCATATCATGAACAAGTATTCTTATTTTCTGTCTTGTACTTCCTTTCTAGACTAATACACAATGCTTACTTTAATTTTTCGAAATATTTTATCACAAATAGTAAATCTTGCTGTTTAAAAACTGTTTGGTGATTGCCTAATCTCATTCTTTATCCATTTAGTGATTAACTTTAACTACTACTACCTTAATATTGTATAGTGATCTTTAACTGTTACTGTCAAGAGACTATACCCACAACACTAACCTATACTACCTTAATATTGTATAGTGATCTTTAACTGTTACTGTCAAGAGACAGAGACTACCCACAACACTAACCTTTACTACCTTAATATTGTATAGTGATCTTTAACTGTTACTGTCAAGAGACAG